TCTCTCTCTCTCTCTCTCTCTCTCTCTCTCTCTCTCTCTCTCTCTCGGTGGAAGAGATAGTGGGAAGAAAATCAGCCTCTTTCTACTGATACTTGTGCAGGAGTACTGATTATTCTTGGAAACACAACATCTTTCTCCACAGAGGCAAGGTAATAACACAACATAGAGGCAGGGCAACAGCACAGCTGGGCTGCAACAGCATGGAGGAAGACTTATCTGAGCAAGGGAAGTGAAGTTTATAAAATTTCTTGTTCTAGACTATATGATTGTGGAGCAGTTGTTCCAAGATCCTACTCCTGGGTCCATGGAACATAGATGAAAATGGCACAGAATTCCCAATATTTATGGATTCAATTAATAATTGACATTGGGAATTCAATACCTGGATGACCAACAACACATTAAAAACAACAAAAATCAAATCAGCAATAATGAACAAGAATAAACTCCATCCCAAATAAATAACATCTATATTTACATGGGCACCATTGGCAATACACAAAAGAACAGTTAAAACCCATAATATCTCATGGCTGAAACTACTAACTTTCTGATCTCTATGCCTAGAGATACACAACCAGGCCTTTATAGCTTTCCTAAAAGTTGACAGGTTTGGTGCAGGTTGCAACTTGAGAGTATGATGTTCTAGGGGCTGGTGTTGTAAGAGAAACGGGTCTTTTCTTTCTGGGTCCCACTAGAAAGTGATCATTTTTAATCATTGGGATCCATAGCATGCCTGTACTAATGGACCATGTGAAACAAGCAAAGTTATTTGTACTAAAGCCATGAATCCAATGGATTTTGGATACTAAATTTGGTTGCGTCAGAATGTATGTTTTCAATAATATGAATATGTTATATTACCACATATGGAGATAGTACAGTAACAAAATAGATGTATGCATCATTGTCTAATCTATGGTTCTCAATCTTTAGTATCTAATGAGCTGCTAATGACTAGAAAAAAATCTGGTTTACAACATGATATAAACAAGATCCTACTTCTTTCAAGAAGGGCATTTAGATGTTTACAGACATTCTTTTACATTAATTTTGATTTAATGTTAGTGTTTCAATGACGGCTGGACAATGTATATACTGGTTGAGAAGACCTGGTCTACAAATACAGATACTCCAAGGATGTAGTAAATTGATGGAGATAGGTCTTATTGCCTCCATGAATTTTCATATGATGTTTCAGTAGTATAGCATCTGTACGGTATGGTGTTATTGGAACTACTATTAAAAAAGGCCAAATAATTGAAATAATATTAATCATACGTTGTTGGTAATTATAGACATTGAAACTATTAAATGCATCTATTTTTAAACTAAAACAAAATTGAAAGCAGAGTTTGTGTTGGATTGACAGGCTCGCCTATAACAAAGAAGATTCAGATGAATATTTGTGCTAAGCAAACCACTCATAAAATAATAATAAATAAAAAGCTTAATCTGATTCTGTTTGAAGTTATACTCCAAGATCTTTCATCCAGGTATTATTTTCCATTTAAAAGAAAGTAAGGATCGATTAAAAGGCCTATTTTTCCTCAGTGCAGTTTTAGCAGTGAAAAAGATAAAGAAGTATGATGGTTGCTTTCTATGTGTGAAGTAACTCATAAAGAGGACAGGTTAATTTAAACACTTGATTTCTAATTTCCCTCTCACTACTACCTCCAGGGGTAGCAGATATTGTGGTGTAGTTAAAATCAGTCAGTTTATTAAGAGCCTACACACTCTTCATGTTCAGTAGAAATCATGCTACAAGATAAAACGTGAAAAAGCTCACATTCTCTTCACAAAATGATCCAGTCTCCTGGTGGGTCTGTACCAATTACATTTTCAGGAGGGGACAGAAAATGTTTATTTGAAAGCTAGCCTACATGAACTTCATTACATTAGTTTCCACAGTGGGGGAATAACATTGATTCACTGTCAAACACCACAAAAAGCAGACAGGAAATAGTACAAAATATGGCAACCAGGCCTCTATATGGCATCTGTTTTGAGTGTTTTTCTCTCAGAAGTCCAGTTGTGTGATACCACACTAAAATAAACATGTAATCTTAAAATAGGACCCTCATAATGTAGATTCTCTAATAGATTTAAGCATCACAGATGCTTAATAGACTTAAGCATTTTAAGTTTGTGCAAGTCTTCTTTTTATTTTCATACAGATATGTTATCTAAGCAGGGTTAGAATATTTTTAGAGCCTTCTCTAACAAGGAGAAAAGTAGTCTGATAGAAGGAGGTTTATTTTTATGAAAATGAAGCTAGAAATTAATTTGCTCAGTGGAAAGTTAACTACTCAGATTGCATGATTTAATGATTAATAAAATCTTCTGAAACTCTAAAATTCATAATGGTCCAGTCTAGTTAATTTCTTCCAGTATCTTCAAATATGTAGCATACTATTAAGATAACAAGTGGGAATATTGAAAGACCTGATTGCAATTCAGAACATTTGATGGGCCTTATTTATAAACTACTAATGAAGTATCACTAAGAATCTTAACAAGTCAAAGACTGCATGATTAAATAAATATAACATTTGGATGCAGTAATAGAGATATAATAATGGGAATTTTAATGGAAGAACATTAAATTCACCTGGAATATTATACTCAGAGCAAATTGGTATAAGATATTAATATATGGCTCCAGTCTTGCTTGTTAAAATGGACCATTTATTTTTCAAAAAACTGGAAGTGTAATGAGTAAGTTGAATCACTTTTTCCTATTTGGTGCCAATATGATAAAGCTCAATTATTCTGGAAAATGATTGATGCTGGGATGAAGACATTTAAAAAGTGAATTCACATTTCAGTCTGCAACATTCTTATTCAACTCACTTTACTCACTCATACACCCCTTCAAAGTATACTGAATTAACCTGTATATGGCAAGTACCACAAGGGTATTATATGTTTTCTTTTTAAAAGGTTCCCCTCAAAGTTCATTGTTTTTTTTAAATTGTAAGCTGCCCAGAATCATTTATCAATTGGGCAGCTTATAAATCATATTAAATAAACTCAAACTGGAAACCATCATTTAGACATAGATTTAATATCACATCTACAGTTTGGGTTCACTTTGCATAGAATTGCTGTTTAACTTTTCTGGATCAGATAGTAATATTTTTTGTAATATAGACTGAATTATTGAATTTATTAGAACTGATAATTTTATTTGATGATTTATGCTGTAATGACCATAATTCTTGATATTCAGTCATACTTAAATAATGATTCTTAGTCCTTTAAAGTGATACAATAAATAATTTATTGATTTTTTTAAAGCTAATCAATAATAGTTGTGGGTGTTCCAACACTGGAGGTCTTTAAGAAGAGATTGGACAACCATTTGTATGAAATGGTATAGAGTTTCCTGCTTAAGCAGGGGGTTGGACTAGAAGTCCTCCAAGGTCCCTTCCAACTGTTATTCTGTTATATATTAGAGACCTCTATGATTTCCTAAATCCCTACTTTTTTCAAATTTATTTTATTCTTTTATTTTTTATATCTCTATTTGGAATTTTTTAAATATATTTTCTTTAAATTGGTTGATAAAAGTACCCTCCTCCCCAAAAGTATGTGGATAATGAAAAAAGAATTCAGGAAAATTAGAATCAATGCAGCACAACTGAAACTAAACATGGTTGAATTTGATTCAAAATCACCACCTAAACAGCTCTGTAGAGAGAAACATTGATACTTAGCTTGTTTGTTTCTCAGAAAACAGTGAAAAACCCAATGTATAAATATCAATAGAAAGACTGTGACAAAAAAAGAAAAGAAAGAAAAGATAGTATCAGGTCCCTTGATATAATCCCAAAACTTCTGGACCTACTTGAACACCATTGGCATTGCCAAAATCACTATCAGTCAATTGGAAAGGCAGCTTTCCTTGGAAAAAGTTTACATTCTGCAATGATCTTCTTAATCCTATCAAGAAACATCCATCTCTCCCAGGTCTTTGGGAAAGATTTGATAGGTGGATAAAAATACCAAATCAAGTCTGACCATCTGGCTGACTGTGTGGCCAACTATAATAACAATAACTTATTATTTAATCCTTATTTTCAATTTCAATACTATTAGGAGTATGACAACAATAAAATGATTTTAAATGCAAAGAACAGTAGCAAGAATAAAGATACAATAACATGAATAAAGAATCTAAGGGCCATTGCAGCATAAAACCAGCAGCATCCAGATTGTAATAGTAGACAGCGTATCACAACCAAGAACCGTCTTTCTTTTCATTCACTGAATTAAGTCATCTGTTAGAATTCAGATGGCTTTTTAACAATCTCTGCTATTTTACTTGTTCCTTATTGAGACTTTTCCTTTCTCTTTATTTCAGGGAGTGAGTTTTCTGGAAGTCCGTACAGTCACCCACAATATTCAACATACAATGATTCCTGGAGATTTCCTAACCCTGGATTGTTAGGTAAGTTTGTTCTCTTACCATTAAAGCCATAACCTAATCCAAAATTCAGGAGCCAAATAATGTGCCCCCATGTGCCCTGTCCAATGTACTCTTGAGGACCTTACGACTGCGCAACAGAATGCAATCCATGTTGTACATGTGATGACCCGGGGTGCAGCACCAAGGCAACACAGTCAGATAACCAACTTTATTAGCTCCAACTTTGCCCCCAATGTCCTGGTTACCTTCTGGCTGGAGAAAAACTCTCCCAGCCTTTGGCTGCATAGAATCAAATCCAAAACGTGGTCAACAAAAATTGTAACTATAAGTCCAATCAAGGCAAACTGAGGTAATTAGTCTGGCAGGGCAGAAGAAGAAATTCCAGATGTGAAGGCATGGCAATAATTCAACACGTTAGGAGGATGTCAGGAACACAGATAACCAAAGTCAACACAGGATAAAGCCACATTTGTTCCCAGTAGACGCTGCACTCAGCATGCATCTCTTTTAAACTCTCTTCCCAGGTGTGGCCAATGAAGAGAATCAGGGCCCTTTCCTCCCCCTTAAGGCACACAACCCAAGTTGCTCTCTTCTCCATTCCTCCCTGCATGCCCTAGGATGAAGAGAGGGGTGGGCCTGGGTCTTCCTCTGAACGCCCTCTCCCTTGTTCTCTCTCTCTCCTGCTCTGCCCAGCCGGACTTTGCCCTTCCCCAGTTTCCTCCACAGCCAATGGAACCACACTCCCACTCCTTGTCAACCGTTTATCTTCCTCCTTGGAGTCAGACTCTGACAGGGGCACGACACTACACTTCTGGGCAACCATCACCTAAGTTAGGCTTTTATAAGAGAAGAGTGGTGGTGGTGCAGTGGTTAGAATGCAGTATTGCAGGCTAACTCACTGCCCACTGCCAGGAGTTTGATTCTGATTGGCTCAAGGTTGACTCAGCCAGAGGGGGTATTCAGCAGGTTCTGACCAGTTCTGGAGAACCGGTAGTGGAAATTTTTAATAGTTCAGAGAACTGTCTAATACCACCTCTGACTGGAGATTTTGCAGTATCCTTCCCCTGCCACGCCCACCAAGCCATGCCCAAAGAAGTGATAGTAAAAAAATTTGAATCCCACCACTGGACTCAGCTGTCTATCCTTTCAAGGCCAGTAAAATGAGGACTCAGGTTGTTGACTCTGTAAATTGCTTAGAGAGGGCTGTAAAATACTGTGAAGCAGTATATAAGTCTAAGTGCTATTGCAATACATTTTAAATTTTATGTTCTTGTGCCTATAGTTATATTTGTGCATGAAATTTTAATAATGATGCTTCTGATAATAATAGAACATAGAATCATAGGGCTGGATATAATAATAATTTCCTTTGAAACATTCTGGAGTGCCTTCTCTAGCTAAATAGCAATGTCTAACAATATATGTAATGTTTAATCATCAAATTACATAGATCAGAACTGATTAATTGACAACCCTTTCATGCTTAAATTTTAACCTGAAGTCTCTTTGTTTTTACTTGAATTCACTTTCAAGTAATTCTTGTTGTTTAATGTAAATGTGAGAGATAGGAACGGACTTACAACTGTGTACATAATTGCTTTCTTTCAACAAACCATAATTCAGATATTCATATTCCGACATCACAACAAACATCTCGGATGGCATTTGCCAAGATTTTCTATGGCTCACTCTCCATGCCATGGTTATTCAGAGATGAAAGGAGTTTGAAAAAGCGATCTCTGTTCCTGCTGTATATAATTGTTTCGCCTTTGGCTTTTGGTACACAGGATACAAAATAGTGTAAAGCCCCGTGTAATAAATTTAGCCATAACTGGCAGGGGTATAAAAGAAATGTAGCCTATGGGAAGTTGAATCCATTCCCATATTACATTTAACTCCCCCAAGCTATTGGCTTTATTCATGTTATGCCTGCAGGCTGTATTAAGGCTCCACTGTGATTTGGAAATAATTTGAAATAATGCATTAAAATGTTTGGAAGTGTGAATGCTGAACCTATCTGCAGCTCATTAAAGCAACCATGTCATGTTCCATGAAGGGACAGATCACTTCTAATTGCATGTTCTAAGCACCTCTTCCAAATCAAATCCAAGGCAGTGCATCCCCTTAGTGTTTTCTGGCTAGTTTTCTGGATTCCCAATTTTTAAGTTAATGTAGAAGAAATTATGGGGGGGGGAAATGTATTTCTTCTGCATGTTTCATCATACTGCTAGCTGAATATATGCCTCCTTTGATCTTTTTGGGTTTCAGTAACGATGATGCTGTTTCAGTAGAAGAGAGCAGCATAACTTATAATTTACAAATGAATAGCCTTTCTTCAGGATCTTTTCTTTCCTCTTTAAACTGTCCCCCCACCCATTTTGTTTTTTATATGTTCTCTCCAGACACATAGGGGAGATTTTAGGACATGTAATTTTGCAGCAAGACAGAATCCAAATGGTTCTAGAAAAAAATCTCCTTACGGACCATTGGCAGTCCCTAAGTAACTCACCCTCACCCTCCCTTTAATAAGGAGGATAAGCAACATCCATTTTATGCCACTGTCAAAAGCTGGCCCAACTTGACCTTACATGTGTGTAGCACATGGTGATTAGAATTCTTCTGCATAATCTATGTGAATGAGGTAAGTAAAATACCAATTAATTGTCACTTCTCCAGCAGAGAGATATTGTGCCTTAGAGACTTTCAGATTTATGGATGGCAAGGTTGTTATGTGTGACCTCTAGCAGAGAAATAATTTTGAATTTTTGTCATTTTTTAAAATTCAGTTTCTTTGTTTTAAGTAATTGAGTCCCTAAGTAATTGAGCCACCTAACATCTACCCATCACATTTCTTGCCCTTAAATAAATCCTTTGGGAGGAATTGATGGGTTTTAGCATTCTGTGTCACACTGCTTTTTACAGTACAAAATTGCCATTTACTGTGCTGTAACTAAGAGTCTGGTGTTGCTCACAGCTCAAATCAGAAGCTGTTTTCTAATATTTTTTCAGCACTCAGCTCAAAGCCAATAGCTTGACATAAAATGGACTACAGCTACTTACAAAAAGCATGAAGGATACCTCTTGGGATTGGTTCTCACAGATGCAAGTACTTATTTCCTTGTTTGTTACTTGCTCGTTACTCCTTACTGATCGCCAAGAAGTGTTTTGCTACATATGCAACGCAGTGAAATACAGTAATAGCTTCCTGAGGTGTAGATTAAACTGACTCACTTTGGATCCTAGTATAGGTATCAAAACCTCCAATAGTGTTTAACTGGATGCAATAATTGAAACACATTCAACAACGTATCTTATCTAAATGAATCAGCTTCTCTAGCCGGATATCCTTCATATGTTTCCTTGCCTCTATTTCCTGTTCCAGAAATATGGGTTGTTGTTTTTTTGGCTATGTCTGTAGGATTTACTACCTCTATCGCACATTCCCCAGTTGTATTGAAAATGATCGATTTCTGGACACAAGATAATATAACAAGAAATGTTTAAAACTTTCTCCAAAAACCACCGATTTCATAGAGTCTTTTGTCCTGAAATGCAGTATTTCTGAAAGTTAGGGTAGTATGTGAAATACAAACCAGTTATTAATATAGCAGTTTGTTCTGTGCAGTATTTTGAAGAGCTTTTAAAATTAATTAAAACAAGAACAAAAAAATTAATACACAAAATTATAAAAAAAAAAAAAGTTGAACACCCCTAAAAAAGCATACAAGATGTATGCTTTGTATTTACAAACATCAGTTCACTGAAGCCATGATTACTTATAGTAATCCATAACTGATCTATTTTGATCCATTCTGTAAGCCACTGAATAGATTCTCCTTGTCATATCCCTTTTAACAAGCCCCCTTTTTTTCATTGTTCCTTTTCTTATATTTCCATGTTTCTAACTTCTATTTTTGTCAGGTAACCATTGATAAAATAAGACCCAAGTCAAAAAATATTCAATTTCTCCCTTTTCCTTAATTGCAAGGAAATCTATCAATCTATCAATTTCTGCACATTCTAATATTTTTTTTTTTAAAAATCACATTTTCATCTGGAGGGATTTCTTCACTTTTCCACTGTTGTACAATTATAATTCTGGTTGCAGTCACTACATGTAAAATCAAATATGTATTCCCCTTGTTATACATGCCCAACAACAATATTTCTGGTTTTAAATCAGTATGTTGCTTTACTATTTTTTCCAACCATGTATGTATTTTTGTCCAATATTTTTTTTGCTTTTGTCCATGTCTACCACATATGGTAGTATCTGATGGCATTTCCAACATTTAGCAGGCATATCCTTAAACATCTTTGCCAACCTTGAGGGTAGAAAATATTATTATTATAATAATTATGATATAATGAATATCAATAAAATGAATATTGTTGTAAACACTTTATTATTTCATAAAACTATTTGTACCCAGACAACAAGCTGTTTAACCATAAATAAAAATTTTATATGTTATATAACAAAAAACTTTATGCAAAGAAAAAAGAAAAAAAAAGAATAGATTCTCCTTGTCTTACTTGCCAGCCAAAATGTCCCCAGTTACATGTAAAATAGGACCTAATGTTGTTGTTAAAGTGAAGAAGACTAATGCAAGGAAATAAAAGAAGCATCATTTATAAAACGCATGAGTTCATCACTGTTCAAGCAAGGGAGCTAATGTGGAATATTAGAAATTGGATTTAATCAGATTGTTTTGGGCAAATATTAGAAGACAATCCCTGGGTCATCAGAAATAAGGAAATTTATTATTGCAAATTATGTATAATATGATAAATTATTATTTACATTGATTTGGGAAAGCAGTAGTACTCTTTACGAGTGATACAAATGTAATATGATTCTCTCATGTTTGAAATAGCGTTGGAACTGATGGGTTCAAACTTCAATATTATAAGATCTTAGGAAAACTTTTCTCAGTTTTCAGCTGCAGTTAGAGATTGGTTAAGACGTAAGTTTTTTCTGAATTGAATGCTTGCTAGTAAAGTTTGCTATTTTATTATTG